ATCTTGGTATTGCTGTCTGAAAGTAGATCCTTGTGAAAGTAGATCCTTCTGTGTTCATAAACAGAAACTGGTTATATTTTATCTAGCCAACAGCAAAGTGTAGAAATACTAATAAAAATTAGATTTTTACTAATTAATTATGTGAAAGGTGCTGAGTTGCTGCCTTTGCCTTTGTGGTTCAGATTAGTCTGCAAAAGTGAATGGAATAATTTAGTTAATCTGCTGAAATACAGGCTCTGTCCAAGATTCCTTTAGAAACTCTATGAAAAACAAACCCCAGAGGTGCCTTTCTCATATGGTTTATAGCTGAATTCTTCTGGTAAATTTTAACTGTGAAGTTGCTGAAGTTTTTGAAAAAACAAAGCCTTCCCCCAGATGCTGGAGGAGTAAATGTTGTCCCTGTGTTTTTTCAGGGATGTCGCAGCGTGGAGGAATTCCAGTGTTTGAACAGGATTGAAGAAGGAACCTATGGGGTGGTGTACAGGGCAAAGGACAAAAAGACTGGTGGGTATCAGTGCCTTCCATTTCTTCAGGGTATCTAGGGCTGCAGATTATCATTCTGCATTTCTCAGTAATGAGCAAAATTTAATGTATTTCTTCACCAGTAAGCTGTTTGTTTTCAAGGCAAAACAGCACAGATAATTAAATATTAAATCAGTGAGAGAACACCTGTTAATGTGAATTATTAACTGCGTGATGTTTTCATCCTTTGCAGATGAAATAGTGGCTCTGAAGCGACTGAAAATGGAAAAGGAGAAGGAAGGTTTTCCCATTACTTCTCTGAGAGAAATAAATACAATTCTGAAAGCACAGCACCTGAATATTGTCACTGTCAGAGTAAGGCTGCAGTCTTCTATGTCTGAAGTACTTTTGTTGTTGAGATACGCCTCTTAGCTTTTAAATACAAAAATATCTTCCTTCTGTGAACAGTTGTGTGCTGCTCATAAGGCTGTATAGGCATCACTGTCTGCACAATTTGGTGTTTTACAAAAAATGAGCTGGTTTTTCATAGAAAAAATACATTTTCTAATGATTTTACCAATGGCAGCTTCCATCCTCTTGCCAGTACATTTCTAAAACTGATTTTGGATGCTTTTTAAACACCATTTGTAGATTTTACTCGTCTGGTTCTGTGTTGCAGGAGATCGTTGTGGGCAGTAACATGGATAAAATCTATATTGTGATGAACTATGTGGAACACGACCTTAAGAGCCTGATGGAAACAATGAAACAGCCTTTCCTGCCAGGTACTGCTTGCCACAGTGCCCTGGAATTCTCAGAGCTGGAGAAGTGGCCAACACAAATGGCCCTGCTGGCTTTGGGCAGTGCCATGTGTTGCTTTGGAATGTCCTGTGTTCCTTGGAACTGAGACTTCCTGGCTTTTTCTGTTTGCTCTGTAAAACCTGACCTAAATTAAGGTGTTGGCTGATCATCGTGGTGATAGCTGGTGATGAATACAGTTTGTGTGTTTGGGGTGGAGCTGGGAGTGTTTCCCCTGTGCTGAACTGGAAAAGAACACTGGGCTTTCATTTTGGCTGCTTCCTATGAGAGACAATAATTTCTGAGCATAATTTGCATGAATTCCAGCTACCCAAATTAATTTTGCTGTTCTGTGACACATTTTTATGGTGCAGGCTATACTGTGCTTTTAACTTGCCACTCCTTCCTGCCCCTTTCCCTGTTCTCCAAACAAACAAACCACAAATTAAAGGTAGATTTATTTTCTTCAATGCATTTTTTATCATTCCAGGGGAAGTGAAGACTTTGATGATTCAGTTACTACGAGGGGTCAAACACCTCCACGACAACTGGATCCTTCACAGAGACTTGAAAACTTCCAACCTGCTGCTCAGTCATTCAGGCATTTTAAAAGTAAGAATTAGGGGAAAAAAATGGAGGAAATCAGGACAAATTCTGTGCTGCAGAATTACAGAGTTACAGCTGTGCCAAAAGTTCTGTGCAATGGCCATCGTGGCACTGATGGTGAATGAGCAGTGCTGGAAATGTTGCTTATTTTCCTTTCAGGTTGGAGATTTTGGATTAGCCAGGGAATATGGGTCTCCCCTGAAGCCCTACACCCCTGTGGTTGTGACCCTGTGGTACAGAGCTCCAGAGCTGTTGCTTGGAGCAAAGGTGAGTTCCTCCTTCTGGCTGCTGGAGCAGTGACTGCAGCCTGACTGTATTTTATAAATCATGATTAAAGTGTGAGCATGCTTGGGTCTTTATACTGATTCACAGCTGAAAATCCTGAATATTCAGTATTAATCCCCCTAATAATATCTAAAACCCTTCCATCCTCCCCACACACAGGGTTGGATGGGTGACAGATGGATTGTGTCCCTTGGAATGCTGACGTGGTCAGTGCTGATGGACTCCTCATGGATTGTGGCAAAATGTCACCTTTGTCAGCTGGATTTTAAATGCCTTTTTAAATTAGTCTAAAACCTGTGACATCTGAGAGCAGAACAAGGCACTGGCACTATTCTAGACTGTTCCCTGCTGGTAACTGGAATCTGGGTGAAATCAGGGTTCTATAGGCCTGCAGTGGCAAGAGCTCTGCCAAAAAAAATACTGATTAATCAGCTGTGCTGCTTTGTTTGTGAGTGGAAAAGAGAGACATCAGTGTGGAGACTTCCACCTTTCATCCTGCAAGATTTGTGTACATTGGTATTGCTCATAATTCACAGTAATTAGAAATTTGAAATAATTACAGTTGAGAGCTGGCCCTTGGATATGGGACTGGTTGTGTGTGTTGTGCTCAAAAAAACCCCAAATAAACCTCCAGAAACCACAACATCCCTCCAAATAAGTCGGTGAAAATACCTTCCTGATTTTTCTGAGGTGTAACTTTATTTTCCTTCTTTGCAGGAATATTCCACAGCCATAGACATGTGGTCAGTGGGGTGTATTTTTGGGGAGCTGCTGACGCAGAAGCCACTGTTTCCAGGGAAGTCAGAAATCGACCAGATTAACAAAGTTTTTAAGGTGATTTTTTTAATATTTTGGGATTTTGACTGGTTTTAGAAACAGGAGCATTGGAGTAATGCTTGTTGTTCCTTAACAGAGATTCAGCCTCAATTAAAAGTTATTTAATCTGTTTTACCACACTTTGAATAGGCTGAGACCACAATTTGTTGTGTTTGTTTTCTCTGGATACTTCCCAACTCCTAATGAAAAAATAACGGATTGCACTCTGAGTTTATTAAAGAGATATTTTAATTTACAGGATCTGGGTACTCCCAGTGAAAAGATCTGGCCTGGTTACAACGAGCTGCCAGCAGTGAAGAAAATGACCTTCACAGAATATCCCTACAACAACCTGCGCAAGAGATTCGGGGCTCTGCTCTCTGACCAGGGCTTTGACCTGATGAACAAGTGGGTACCAATTCCAGGGGATCCCTAGGAATCTGTGGGCAGGAAAACAATTTTCTGTGTTGTGAAAGGTTTATAAAATCAAGCCCAGGCTGTGCAGTAAAACTGTGTTACAGGAGTACCTGGTGCGTTAATAGAATGTCTAAAATCTCTCTTGAAATAGCAAAAATTGTAAAATATTCTAATGGAATTACCCCAATACCCAGTGCCAGAATTCTGCTGAACATCACAAAACCCTCAACCTCATTGCTGAACCACTGACAATTTTGGGGGGCTGAAATCTCCCTTTTTCCCCCTGGCAGCTTCCTGACGTACTACCCGGCGCGGCGGATAACGGCGGAGGACGGGCTGAAGCACGAGTACTTCCGAGAGACCCCCCTGCCCATCGACCCCTCCATGTTCCCCACCTGGCCAGCCAAGAGTGAGCAGCAGAGGGTCAAGAGGGGCACCAGCCCCCGGCCCCCCGAGGGAGGGCTGGGCTACAGCCAGCTGGTGAGTGTGGCACGGGGCAGAGCCTGCCCTGGGCTGGGCTTTGATTGAGATCCTGAGGGAGGGAGAGTCCAGCTTTTCTTCCAGAGTCAGTGCTGGTGAGCGTGGCACAGCTCCAGAGCCTGCCCTGGGGCAGTCCAGCTTTCCTTCCCAAAGCCCAGGGAAAGTCCTGCTTCCCTTCCCAAAGTCAGTGCTGGTGGGTGTGGCACAGCTCCAGGGTCTTATCTGGGGCTGGACTTATCCCAGGATCCTGAGGTTCACCTGGGCTGGCAGGAAAAGTCCAGCTTTTCTCCCCAACACCAAAGGAGAGTCCAACTTTCCTTCCCAAAGACCAGGGAAAGTCCAGCTTTCCTTCCCAAAGTCAGTACCAGTTACTGCTCTGCTCCCAGGATCATCTCAAGGCACAATCAGAAAGAAATGTCTGGTTTATCCCAGTGCAGAGCAGTTTCTCCTTTGAAAATATTCATTGTTTTACACCGTCAACTAAGCTGTTAAATTTGGTTTTGAAATAAACCCACAGCCTGGTAAGTGATGCAGATCTTGGGGATAGAAATAGATGTCTTCTACCAGTCTTGGAGAATTCCTAAAAGATCAGGCTGGATTCTCTCTGTGGGGATATCTGTGCTGTCTATCCATGGGAATTGTGCTGACCCCATAAGTATGGCATGTTAGGCCCCTAATTCCAGAAAATTCTTATTCCCAGTTCCATGGCTGAAATGGCACTGTACTGTATTGTGCCAAATTTACAGTTTACATAATACAAAAAGTTTATTTAGCCTTGATTTTTTTGGAGTGTAAACATTGCCATGGAGGATGTGTGTTGGATTAGATGCTCAATGAGTGAAGTTTACACTTATTTATACCAAATTTTTTTATCTTTCTCAGTCAAAAGTGGGTACAGGAACTAGGAACATTCAAATGGCTTTTAGCAATGGCAAATTTTGAAATAGCAATATTTAAGGATTATGAATAACCCAGCATCAACCTTCACTGTGATACCACTAAATCAAACATTTATTTCTCATCTTGAGATGATTTATTTTTGTTGTTTAGATTTTTTGTTGGGTAAATGCAGCTGCCCAGCCCCTGATCAGTGCCCTGTGCTTGGTTTTCACAGGGTGATGATGACCTGAAGGACACAGGTTTCCATCTGACCACCACAAATCAAGGTGCATCTGCTGCAGGACCTGGCTTCAGCCTCAAGTTTTGAACTCAACATGAAAAAGGAAGGAAAAAAAAACTCCAAAAAGCACCATTCATGTGAGTGGATTTGAGTGCCCCAGTTCTGTTCTCTGTCAGGGGCACCAGATGTTTTTCCCTGTGAAAAAAACTCAAATATTATCACAGATTCCAAGGCTCTTGTTTTATAAATCAATGTGGAGTTTATCTGCTGCATTCCATTAGAGGACTGGAGTTACCTGAAAACCCCAGGATCATCACAAACTGTGACAAAGGACAACTTGAAATAACAGTCCTGGAACAGTTTCTGGTTTGTTTTTAGGGGTGTTTTTTTGTTCAGTTTGTTTTGTTTTGTTTTCCTTGTAAATTTGTAGAATTAAAATACTATTTCAATTGTTTAATAGTGTGAAGGATTTAATTGCTTCACATGCAGCAAAGTGGGATGTTGGTGACCGTAAAGAGAGTTTATTTTTTATTTAAAGTAAGCAAATTGTTTGTGTCTGAATATATTTAGGGCAAAAAGAAAAATGACAATTCTGAGATTTGTATCCTGTTACCTTAGAGAGAGCTGGGCTGGGTTTGATACTCCCTGACCAGATTTTTTTTTGGTTTGTTTTGTTTTTGTTCTGCAAATGTATTTACAGTGGTGCAAAATTACTCTATTGTTTTATAAATCAAAAAGATTTAATATGCAGACTTGAAACTTTATTTCTTGTGAAAGTTTTTTTTTTTTTAAATGTATGCCTTTTTTCCATCCAGAGAAGAATTCAGCTTTAGTGGTTGTGCAAGGCCACATTCCAGTCCTTTCTGGGGAAAGAGGAGAGGAGGAATCATGTTGGAATCTCATCCTCTGGAGCCCCTGATTTGTTGAAGCTGTCACTTTGTTTTGGAAACAGGGAGATCTGGAAACCACCACATTTTCCTGCAACCACAGCTGGGCACCAGGCCAGTAAGGGATTAACTCCAATCCTAAACATTTTATCAGTTTCAGTCCATTTTGGAGAGTTTTCCTGGGGAAAGGCCGTGGGGCTGGAATGTGGATGTGCTGCATTGTGGTGAGTTGGGAAAGCTGTCTGGTTGTTTTCCTGTGCAGGAAGACAAAACTCCCTGTTCCTCAGCCCTGAAGGAGAAACAGCTGAACATTCCTGATTCCAGAAGCTTCCCCAGGAGCCCAGTGAACAGCAGGAGTACAGGGAAGCTGTGCAGGATTGAAGCATGACCCCACTGCATAGTTTGGCTGTGACATGGAATTGTTCCCTTCCCAGCTTTGCCAGCCACTCCTGAGCTCTTCTCCAGCTGGATGTGGCACTTTCACCTCATCCTGCGGGAGGAAATCACCTCATCTCCCACAGGACCCAAGGCTCAGACCCCTCAAGGACCAGACTGAGAGCTCAGACCCCTTAATTACCAAACTGAGCAGTGCAGATCCCTTAATTACCAAACTGAGCAGCTCAGACCCCTTAATTACCAAACTGAGCAGCTCAGACCCCTCAAGGACCAAACTGGGCAGCTCAGACCCTTCAAGGACCAAACTTTGAGCAGCTCAGACTTCTCAAAGACCAAACTCTGAGCAGCTCAGACCCTTCAAGGACCAAACCCTGAGTAGCTCAGACCCCTTAATTATCAAACTGAGCAACTCAGACCCCTCAAAGACCAGCTCTGAGCAATAAATTCCTCTTGGGATAGGAAGAAAACTCTCAAACCACAGGAAACCACTTGAGGGGAAGATCTGTTCTGTGGCTCCTTGAACTGAACATGTTGGAATGGACAACTGAGGAGCAAAACAGGATTTATGTGATCCTCATCCTCCTGACAAGTGAAAGAAAAGCAATATTAAGGCTTAGCATTGTCATTTCTTCTATTTGCAGTGCAGCAGGATGTAAAAAATGGCAGGAAAACATTCAGGGAGTGTTGAACTTGTCCTCTTCCTGCCATCCCACTGTCCCAGGGGCTGGGGCAGAGTCTGCTCCTGGTTTGCTGCAGTGCCCCACACAGCTCCATCTGACACTTTTCTTACAAAAAAAAAAAGGTTTTTAATTTTCTGTACAGCAAATAGTTGATAAATTCTTTATCTTTAAAACAAATCTGGAAGAGTTTGACATTCCAGTAACCAGTCCCAGAATCTCTTTTGCCCAAGGTACCGAAGCAGCTGCTGGAGAATTCAGTTGCACTACTGGAAATTAAAACTAAAATGCCAAAGAAAAAACTGGAAACAGAAGGAGCAGGAACTGAATCCAGGGCTGGGTCAGTGCTTCAGTCTGATTCTCCAGGAATAAGTAGTCAGGATCCTTTCTTTTTTCTTCACTATGCAAGTGTAAGTTCCTTCATTAATTGCATTTGCAATGATGCTCATGTGGTCTTCATTTAGGGCTAAATAACCTGGATAGGAATATTCCAGAAGTTCCTTATCTTTATACCAGCTGTCAGAAGAAAAAGAGTGGAAGTTAAACTCAATATTAGTTATTTCTACTAATAAATTTTGCTGAATAAGTGTAGGGCACAGACTTTACCAAAACACAGTTGAGTTGTACTCTTTATTTCAGGTGGATAATCAAGGTATAATTGTGAGGAATTTTTGAGTTTGAATCTCTGAAAGTTGATGGGAATTTGGGTCCTCAAGTCTAAACCAACTCATGGATTTAAGCCAACTTAAATTTTAGATAAATCCAGAACCTGTTCAGTACTTCACTAACTTCACTAACAACCAACTAATTAAAACCTGAAAGGGTAAATTTAAATGTATGGGTTTTTTTCAGAATATAAAGAATATAAATATTAATATTTAAAAATAAAAGTATAAAATATAAAATTATTTTAAAATAGAATTATAAATATCATCTAGAAAATAAAACTAGAAAATTTTAATAAATATTTTGCAGAATATAAAGAATGTTAATATTCAAGCCAGGGAGTTCAACTTGAGAGTAGGAATAGCTTTGTGCTATATATAAAATTGGATTTTATCCTTTTTGAGCTCCAGATTATAAACTCCATTCTTCTTTAGCCTGTTTTTGTCGTTGTTCCTCATGGATTTTGGCATGTGAAGTTTCCCAAGGCCTGGATAAGGACAGAGCACTTACTAGACTTTGCCTTTTTTGTGGATGATCTTCTGCCCACAGCGGAAGGTGACGTTCCTGCCCTCAGAAACCGTCTTGGTTTTGGTCCTTGGTGGGGGCAGAGTGGGGGGCACTGTTGGAAATGGGAATTCTGTCCAGGCAGAGAAGGAAATGGCAGCAGTTAAGGAGCTTTAGCCACCCCAAAACCCTTTCACATTTAAAGAGCTTTAAAAGTATTCATTTAGAAGTGCTTCCTCTTCCTGAGCAATTCTTGGACAGACAAATAACATGATTGATGTGCAAAGATAAACATTTTGTGGTGTGATAAAATTCAACATGTCCCTTTTGCAGCTATGGAAGAAGATGTGAACAGTCCAGTGTGTGAAAAGCCATGGAATGTCGGGGTTTGTAATTATCTAATTGCATCTTTCATTAACATGACCCAGAAAAACAACCCTCTGTGCTGCAGAAAGAGGCACTGGTTCAGGATCTCCTAAGGACAGCAGTTTTTATCTGAACTCAATTCCACAGCTGCAGCAACTTGTCCTGCCTTAGTTCCTTACCTGGATGCATAAGCTGAGGCTGGAGAAGGTGATTAATATCCTGTGTTTAATCACCTTTCCATCCTGTTCTGGGGAGCAGCTCCAGTCCAGCTGTGCTGGAGATGTTTTTGTCTTGTTTCTGCCCCATCCCTGTCTCAGGAGCTGCTCTGCAGCCTCTCTCTCTGCCTTGCTGTTCCCTGGCTCAGCTAAACCAGAGAGGAGCAGGACAGTTTAATGTCCCACTCCATAAATGTGGAATTATTCCTTGTTCCAGGCCTGGATCTGGACTCAGAGATAGAAAACACCAACTCAGTTGTGCTGCTTGGAGCTGGATCAGTTGTGTCACTGATCCCTGGTGTGAAATGAGGATCCTGCCTATCCCAGCCTCACTTTTACCTCCTCCCTCTGCAGCCCCCAGCCCAAATCCCAGCAAAGCCCCTGGATACCGTAGCAGAAGTCACAGGTGGACGGGCAGTGCTTCTTCATCAGCTTCCTGCGCTTCTCACAGAAACCTTTTTTGGCCCACGATGGGCACATAAATAACCTGTCCTTACAGCCTGCAACAGGAGGAGGTGAGTTAGAGGGCTGGGGGAGACAACAACCAAATTGAGGTGAAATGTCGAAAGGAACAACGTGCAGCTGGGATGGGGAATGCTGTAAAGCAGGAGCAGGACGTGGGTGGGACACCACCATGGCTCCAGAGCGTCCAGCTGCCACTGGAGACTGAGCCCCTGTCTCACCGTAGAGCCTGTGGATTCCCCACACCTCATCCTGGGAAATGCTCTTCTTGCCCGTCAGGGTGGCGTTGATGTGCATGAGGGCGTTGGGGTTCAGCGAGTGCATGAGGCCCAGGGCGTGTCCGATCTCGTGGGCTGCCACATGGACCAGATCTGTCAGCCACACCCCTGGGGAGAAGGAGACCAGCTGGAATTGTGCTGTGCGCTGCTGGACAGCTCTGCTTTGTCACACAGCTCTTCCTAGTGGAGCACCAGAGGAAGGATTCTGATGACTCAGGTTTAGCTTTTCTATTTTCCACATTCTGAGCTGCTTTAGTGTGTGGCTCTGAGCTTCACATGAGGGGATGCTGAGCTCTGCACAGAGCAGAGACAAAACAATTCCTGCTCCAGCTGGGCACCAAGGACAAATGATCCAAATCTCAGCCCAGGAGCACAAACACCGTGGGCTGGAGAGAGAAAAACAAGCAGGATGGGACTGCCTGGGCTAAAGCTGGAATGGCACAATGAACTCCAAGGTGCACATGGAGCAGAACTGATCATTTTGTGACCAATCATCCATTTTTGGGACCATTTTGGTTCATCTTGGGTGCAGCCCTGGCCAGGCCCAAGGTCTGGATCCTTCTAATTTGGGGATCCTTTTAACACATCCCTGCCTTATTGTTTAACTCTGTCTAGTCTCTGTTCTAGGGCAGCTTCCACAAGGCATCAGTTTCAGCACTAGAACAGGCAACACTGCCCCAGGTTCATCTTCTCTGCAGCTGCTTGGGCCCAAATCCAGCCAATTATTTCCACATGCTTCTAATTCCCAGCAGCAGGACCCAGAGCAGCGCCAAGCTCCAGGAGAGCTGCTCTGGACCAGCAGGGCTTGACTCAGTGCAACACTGACCCTCCTCATCCTCCTGCTCACTTTGCTCCTGCAGCTCTGAGCTGAAGAAATGGGGTTGGGAAGATTCCAGTCTGAAACAGGCTCTTGTTCGACCTCCACAGCTTGGAGTCAAACTCAAGCCTCTTGGCAGCATGCAGCTCATGGATTTTATCTGAAGGATGTGTCTAACTATTCAATAATTTCACTAATTCCAGTAATTCCAGCAAGAAGTGGTCCTGCCACCACACAGTTCTGGCTCAGGGCAGAGGAACAACGACTTCCAAGCCCACAATAGAACCCCAACTGTTTCTATTGTCACTTTCCCAGATCTGGCAAATCCCAAACTAAAATCTAAATCCCAAGCATTCCACGTGTTCCCTGTGTTATTAACCTTTCTTCCAGCTGAACCTGGTGTTGCCCAGGATCCAATACTCGTGGTCATCAAAGTGGATTTCTCCATGGGGTGGGAAGAAGGCGTGGGCCAGTTCCCCCGTGGTGCCATCGAAGCAGTGGTGGGTCAGAGACTCCAGGCAGTCCGTGTGGTTGATGGAGTAGAAACCTGTGGAAAAAGCAGCAGCTTGAGGGTTATCCAGCAGGATCAGCCTGCCCAGGAAAGCCCTGGGTCACTGGGAAGGTCTCTGGTGGGATCCCAGGTGTTTTCCAGCTTCCAGGGCCACAAAAGGAAAGATAAATGCAAAGCAATTGCCAGCACTGATGGCAACACTCAGCCATGTGCTGACCCTGCATGTAGAGCTGCTCCCACAGGACACCAATTAATTTGTTTTCCAGCAGGGAATTCTGAGCTCCTCTTGCAACACCAGGTGGAAATTATCTTTTTGAGAGAGAAGCTGGACAGAACTGATAACCCCTGGATTGTTCCAAAAATTGCTATTTTGAACATAAATAAGGAGATGCCTTGGAGTCAGAGCTGCAGCAGGATCACAGTGAATCCTGAATCCCTGGAAGGGCACCTGGAGCTCCCACAGGTGACAGGACAGACCCCTGGGAGCCTCATCATGAGGGGAACATGGTGTAAAATGAGGGTGAATCTGCTGGCTGGCCACTGGCACCAGGAGTCTGTGCTTCACACTCAAAAATCCCAGGAAGAATTAACATCTGGACTTGAGCAGAAAACACCTCAGCACTGAACTGTTCTGGGGCCCAGGAAATTCAGGAACAGCCGTGGAGGGAAAGGATGGAGCAGTGACTGCTCCAAAGGGATCAGCAGGAGGGAGATTGAACCCACCAACGACCAGAATCCCTCACCTGCTCCGTGTTGTGACCCTGGCTGTGTCACTCCACCTTCCAGCATTCACTTTCTCCAGCTGTGAAGTAAGAATCTGTGGATTCTTATTCTCCTGTGGCTTTCCCCACCTGTGGATTCTTACTCTTATTCTCCTGTGGCTTTCCCCACATGTGGATTCTCATTCTTCTGGGGCTTTCCCCACCTCTGGGATCCCATCCCAGCAGCAGAATTTGACAGTTCATTCTTGGTAAATGCCTGAAACTTCCCAGCTTCACAGGGAGTGTTAGTTGTGACATTTAACATTTCCTTGAGCAGAAAAAAGCAGTTTTTCTTTGCCTGGCAAAAGGCAAAGGACACCCCAGACCTTATCCAAGAGGCCCCCATGAGTCTGCACAGCACAGGAGGGCTCTCCTGCCTCCCAGATCCTGCATTCCACGCCGGAATTGCTGGAATTCCCACAGCCCACAGCTCCCTGGGCCGGTGCAGGATCCCATGGGGGGCACTCACCGATTTTGAGGTCGCTGGGGAGGTGCCGTGGGACCTCCCTGAAGCTGAACGGGGACACCTCGCTCCACATGCGGAACGCGGCCGCCAGCCCCCGGCGCGTGTCCCTGGCGCTCAGGAGGTTCCTGGGGAAGGACAGGATCCTGCAGGGACACACAGGACACCCTCAGGAAATGTCCCTCTGAGCCATCAGCTTTTAGCTTTTCTATTTTTCACATTCTGAGCTGCTTTAGTGTGAGGTTCTGAGCTTCCCATGAGGGGATGCTGAGCTCTCTGTGACAAAACAACTCCTGCTCCAGCTGGGCACCAAGGACAAATGATCCAAATCTCAGCCCAGGAGCACAAACACCGTGGGCTGGAGAGATAAAAACAAGCAGGATGGGACTGCCTGGGCTAAAGCTGGAATGGGACAATGAACTCCAAGGTGCCAATGGAGCAGAACTGATCATTTTGTGACCAATCATCCATTTTTTGGGACCATTTTGGTTCATCTTGGGTGCAGCCCTGGCTGGGCTCTTGTGCTGCCCAAGTGTGGGAAATGGATCTTCAGAGAATGTTTACAGTTTGATAAAAGGTCTACATAGTTTGTATTTGTATGTAAATTTTGAGATAAGAAATGTTGATTTAGAAATGTTACGGAATAAGATAGATATTGTTAAGAGAGAGATGGAATTAGAAATATGTTTTAAAAGATGGTTTTCTAAATAAGATTAGGTATTTTAGAGAAATAGAATTATGAAAGATATATTGTAGTAAGATCTGACAGCCAAGGTGGATCCACTGAGGAGATCCTTCTACTAAATCCCTACTTTATTCTTTAACTCTGGTTTCTGTTCTAGGTCAGCCTTCTCAAGGCATCAGTTCCTCAAACACCTGCAGGCTCTCAGGGGTCTTCAATCCATTTCTCTGGTGTTTCAAGCACTCACTGCAAGAAGTTTGAGTCAGGGGTAGCTTGAGCTGGATGTTAACAATATTTAACAACCCCCAGAGGGGTGAGTTCCCTCCTGATATTCTTTACAGTCACAGTTACGGCTTTAGTTCCTCCTCTCCAGCACAGGTTCTCCTGGAAAACTGATTTTATCCTGATCTATCCCAGTCTGCTGTGCAATGTTTCTAGAAGAAGGAAGATCTGCATTCCAGCAGCAGGGAATTCTTGTTCCTGACCCTTGTGCTCCAAAGGATGTGGAATACTCTCACTGATAACTTTTCAAAAAAGAGTTCCAAGCAATATGAAAGGTTTGATAGGAAAACAAGTCCTTTCCTTGGAAAAAAAAATACAGGGGAAAAAAAAATCTATGGGTAAAGAGGTTATTTCCTTTGGAAAAAAATCCTAATCACTCAGGATAGAGACTCTAAAGAGGTTTTTGCTTAGGCCCCAGGGCAAACTGTGGGGAAACTCCTGGTGTGGGCTGGCAGAAGCCCTGTTTGGGCCATGGAAATGCACAGATGGCTCCCAGGAACTTACCTCGTCCCACAGGAAGATCTGCACTCAGGGAATTGCCTCAAGTGGAGCAACTGGGACAAGCTGGGCATATTCTCTATCCCCTCAGGATGTTTTTTAGCTATGCTGATTATGTCCTCCCCTGGTCCCAGCACATCCTAAAGGGAGCAGAAGGGTTTGTATCAAGCCAAGCTGTTCATGAGGGCAAACCTGGGCGCTGAAGGCTCTCGGGAGGCTGAGCCTGTTTGGGGTGAGCAGCAAGAGAAGGAGCAGAGCCTTCCCTCAGCATGGGATTCTCAGCTTTTTATTGCTGATTTCTCAGCAGCCTTTTCCCAAAGAGAAAGGGAGAGAGATTGCTAAAATCCCTCACTATGCAGCACAACATCAGCAAACTCAGTTTTGCTGAAGGGAGAGCCAAGGGAGAGCTCAGCTTTGAAAAATTCTTGCATTATTTTTTAATGGATGGCTTCAAAAATTTGGTAATCATCCCATTGCCTTCTGGAACAATATTCAAAAGTTTAGGGCTTGACTCAAGTGCTCAGCTATCCCCACTAAGAGGGGATTATTCTGCCTCACCAAGAGCCCTGAAATCACAGAAATCCTGAGATCACCTTTCAACAGTGAAAATCGGAAAGGGTAAATTTAAATTTACCAGTGGTCACCCTGTGATTTCCCTCAGTGCTGACTGAGGTTCATACAGAACTCTTAAAAAACCCACCAGGATAAACAGAATTAAACCTCAATCAGGGTTAATTGTTGTGGGGAGCCCTGACTGTGCCCTGAATAGTTTCCCTCCAGCGAGAGGTGCAGCATTTCTCAAAACATTCCCGTTTTGGAGTGGCTTTAGCACTCCAAAGGGCATGATCCAAAGGCAGCAGGAGAATCCAGGCCCCGGGGTCACTTTTGGGGCTGGGCCCAGCCTTACTTGTAGGTGAGGTTGAAGTGGTCCCACTTGAGGCGGCCCGGGGTGATGGTGTAGCGCCGGCTGCGCGCCGCGGGGCCGGGCAGAGCCGAGCCTGGCACTCCTTCCTGAAAAACAAAACACCAGCTGGAAGCACAGGGAGACACTCCAGGACAGCTCAGCTAAAGCCCTAAGCTTTTAGCCTTTATATTTAGCCTTTATATTTAACTTTTATATCCATTTAGCCTATATATCTCCAGTGCTGTACTGCATTAGTGCATAACTCTGAAGTCCATAACAAAATGTTAATCACCATTTTCACTTTTTGTCAGATAAAACAATTCCTCTAGGCCTGAGATCCAAAGACACCCCACAGCCTCAGGCCCCAAAAAGTACAAATAAAATTAAATTGTGGGGGGAGAACCAGGGTAAATGACTTCATCACCCGAAGTTGTAATTGGAGGATTAACCCTGAGATGTAAATGGACCAGAATTTAATTGTGTGGAAAACTCGTGGCCATCACCCACGCTGGGCTGGAAACCCAGAGGTTTCTGAAAAGCCTCAGAGGTTTTTCACTGCCCAAGGTGCACCTGTTGAAGGCCTTTAATAAATTCCCACGTTATTCTCTTAAAGCCTCTGTTCTAGGGAGGCATCAGAGTGCAAACAAAAACCTGCATGGAGCAGGACACCTGGGGGCTGGGGAGCACCTCTGCCTCTGCCTGAGGGGTGTCCAAGAGATGAGACCAGCCCTGAATCATCCCAAAACACCCCAAACCAGCCCCTCTGCTTCTTGGAGAGCAGCAATGAGCCCTCAGGAGGCTCCTGGCCACAGCAAGTGCTGCAGCTCTGCCTGGAAAGTTCTCATTTCCTCCTCTCTTCGCCGTCCCTCCCCAGATGTCAGTCTGGAGAAATGACTAAAACAGGCAACTCTTTGTGCAGGGAGCTCTGAAATGTCCTGGAAAGCCTGGAATGCCTTTAAAGCATGGAACAGCAAAAGACACGGAATTCTGTGGGACACCTCTGGCTCCAGCTGGAAAAGCCTTTTAGAACCTGGAGGGAAATGAATGGGACCCAGCGTGGGTTTGGGGGAAATTTTCCAGCTCTGTCTCCCCTTTTTTGGGGCTAAGACACTGAAAATTGGGCAGCAAGGCACTGGCCAAGAGCCAGGGCCTGGTATGGAAGAGCCTTGCCCGGCCTCTCAGCACATTCCAGAGGCAGCAGGAGCTGTCTGCAGTTTCCTGATGGAAGAAAGGATGCCCCGAGAGCCAAAGCCCACATCCCTGGTGCCACCAGAGCAGCCAAGAGCCCGAGGTGACAGCTCCAGCTCCTGCCTGAAGGAGCACAAACCCCTTTCCATGGCTGCAAACTCCTCCTGGCAGGAGGAGCATTATATTATATAATATAATAGATTATATTACATTATATTATAGTATTATAATTTTATAATTATAGTATATTAGATTATATTATACTATAATATATATTATAT